CTCGCCACGGAAACTCGTAGTTCCGATGTTTGATCGGGGTGCCTCCCCCCACCTCCTCACCCACTCAATGGCAAATTACTGGGAAGATTGGTAAGGTGACATGTCGGTAGAAAAAAGGGAAGTCGTACCGGAGGAGTGATTGAGAGCGATCCTCCCAATGTCAAGACCCGCCCGAGCACGAATGGCGAGATTGGCTATTTTCCCAACCAAATACGAACTTGAAATGCATTCAGTGATGAAAGTCGACGCAGCAAACTATTAGGCTACTAACAGATCAAGAAGGCACACTTTAGAAGGACTAGTTATGGACACGATAGAAGAAGGTTTCAGCAAAAAGTTCCCATACAGCTTACAAGCAAGAAGGAGATTTTAGCGAACACACTTCGGCAGCTTGTAAGTGACATCCGCGTAACGGGGGCGGAGACTCACAATTAATGGTCATGAGCCGTCGCCCATTTCTCTGCTTGTTTTATTATTACAAGATGGGTATTCAAGGATCCCAGGTGACTCAACAGTACTAGGTTCAAATAAGAGACCAGATAGTAAGAGCTGCCAGCCCGTTCTCTACCAATAGTTGAACCGGGTGAGCGACGAAAATCGGTGGAAAACGATACTGACATGATATGGTCTTGTCGCATCTGGAAGAAAAAAAGCAAACGAGGTGGCGTCGTGCTGAAACCATCCCCGACTGCCCAATCATCATGATTTGAAACAGGAGTCAAAAGAAACTGAAGTTGAACATGTTCGAAGTGACGCTTCTATTACCGCGGACACTGATCAGGTTCTGCGAACTGCTGTTTTCCAGCGAATTCTCGTAAGCAATCCAAATGTTGCGATGATTACTGAAGAACTCAGAAGATGTCAACGATTTCAACTCATCTCTGAAAGAAGGCTGAATATAGTATTTCGATCACTGAAGAGAAATAGGGTCACAAACAAAACAAGAAACAGAAACAAATAAAATGAAAGCAATGATCAGTGCTAGCTGTTGCTTGCGGCCAATATCGGAGGTTAGTGGAAGTGAGGTTTATCTGTAGAGAGTACTACCATTTTGAAAGCGATATAATGCTGGTTTGCTTTCTGCGATGCGGTAGTGGGATCTATGGCAAGAGCTTTTACCTTATTGAAACTTCTTCAATACAGCGCCCTAGCAGAGCAACTGGGTACCAACAAAAGAATGTTGTTAGCCACGTTGATGGGCGTCGCCGATCAACGCGGCGACAACATTCTCTTGTTTCCCGGTCCTCCGATCGGTAGGCTAACACGGTAAAAAAAAACTCCGCACCCAAAACCGCGCGCGGTGGAACGGCAATTCACAATTCTTCTGCCCGTCTCTCAGAGCAACAAAGTTTGGAATCCGACGTAGCGGTTCAAGAAGAGACTAGACATTACACATGGCATAGCCAAGGATTGCTGCATTCGTACAAAAATGAGTAATTAAATAGAACCTCGTGAACCATCTCGTCTCAGCGATTCCTTCGGAAACGGTTTCAGCGGTGCTGGCAGGAGCATCCCTTATGTACCGCATCAAACATACGAAAAAGAAGCCGCACGTTCCCTGGTAACATGTACGCACTTGTTGCCTGAAATTTCATTTTGAGACTCAAACATTTTAGCACGAATGCTAGAAACTATACCATTCATGGCAAAGCCCGCGATCATTTGCCATCACAGATAGTGGATTGGAAGATTTCTCATATAGATGACAAGGTGCTGACTAGCCCGATAGTAGGAGAAAAGCAGAAAAAAAATTGCCTACTTCCCCAACTGGAACCCCATTTCTATTCCAGTTTGTACGCGCCCATTTTACTCTATATGCAACACTACCCCCATCCGCACTGCTCACCCCCGATAAGAACTCACGACCATGGAACCGACGATTTTCATGCTTTTTCGTCCTGAAGCTTCATTTTTCATTAAAAGGGGCCTGGAAGGCGGAGTCTGGAGGCGGGGTCACTGAACCTGAACCTGTATTGCGTTATACCGCCCCCCTCTTACTATTTTTGCCACGAAACCGGTACAAGGTTGTCGTCACGGACCACAAACCTCCTGACCTCTTTTTCTAATTTTCTACACCTGATCGCGGACCGTGCCTTTAAATCCTTCCCACAACCTAAACACACAGGTAACAAGCAGAAATACTAGAAGTACACCTGCACACATTTCTCGCCGTTCGGGAAGTTTGTTACAGAAAGCTCTTATTTTTTAAGTGGAAGTGACATTGCCCACAGACGACTTGTGGCTGCAGAAGTTCTGGTCTACTAAGATCTACCCCGACAACCCTTCCCGTGGAAGTCCTAACGTTGCTGTTAAGAGCCGGGGTGGCTTGGCTAGATTTTTTTCTAATCGTCTGCGCTCTCACAACGGGACACATCGAGCTTAATTATCCTTTCCCATAACAGTCCGAAACTCCTACCCGGACATCCCTTTCTTACCTGCTTAGCTGCTTAGAAGTGGTTATATCGATAATGCTTTTGAGTTCTGATATATCTTACTTCAAAGCAGCTTTCAGTAGACAATGAATGGTACTCCGCGTGGTAGCTGCGGTTAAAGATTTTACAATACAATACAATACAATTTATTCCGCTACTCATCTGATATATACAGAGAAACGGGCCATGCTCTGAAACCATTCGGGTGTAGTCGCGATGTTCTTCCAGTCCGTTCCAGCAAACATCTTGAGATCGTCTTCCCATCGCATTCGTGGCCTTCCGACTGCTCTATTTCCGGAGGGCTTCCAATTCAACAATCGAACTTCCCATCGTGTTTGATCCTGGTCATCAGTTTATTCGCATATATCCATTTGCGTTTTCTGGCTTCAGCAACGACGTCTTTCAGCTGTGTCCTTACTCTTATAGCTGTATTCGATACCTTGTCGCTGAGTCGAAGACCGAGCATCTGTCGCTCCATTCTTCGCTGAGTTTTCCGCAGACGTTCTTCATGCGCCTTCGTTAGTGCCCATGTCTCGCATCCGTACAGTAGTGCAGGCATTACGCAGATATGGAAGAAACGTCGTTTGATCCGCATCGGCGTCATCTTGCTTCTTAGTAGAGTTCTGACTTTTCTGTGGATGTTCCAAGCCGAGCTGATCCTAGAGCTGATTTCCTGACCGCGTTCCTGCGGAAAACAGATAACTTGGCCCAGGTAGACGAATGATGTTACTTGTGCAATCTCCACCTCGTTTACTCTGAGTTGATGACCGTTGGAGCTGGTTGACATCCATTTGGTCTTATTTGCGTTCACTTCTAGTCCAGCCTCTTTGGTCGCTCTAGTGAGTTTATGGAGCATTATTTGTAATCCATCAATAGTTGGAGAGCACAGAAAAAGATCGTCAGCATATGCGAGGTAATTGAGACGATGTTGACCAATGGGGTACCCTTGATCCTCCCAGTCAATGTCGTCAAGGCAGGAATGGAGTGTTAGAATGAACAGCAATGGAGATAGTGAATCACCTTGTCGAACTCCTCGTTGTATGTCGATCATCTTCTCTGTAGCACTGAGAGTCAGAAATGATCGGCCAGCAGCATAGAGCTGCTTTATCATCCGAATCGTACAGTCGTCTACTCCATATTTAGCTAATGCTCTCCAGATAGCATTGAATTCGATAGTGTCGAAGGCTTTTTGATAATCAACGAACACCATATGTAGTGGTTTCTTCCATTCACGGCATTTTTCCATCAACAGATTGACGGACATAATGTGGTCACGGGTGGAGAAACCGCGCCTGAATCCAGCTTGCTCAATGGGAATAGAGCTCATTACTTCTTCTTCCACACGATGAGCTAGTGCACGGGTGAGAACTTTGAAGAGCGTCGACAATAAGGAGATTGGTCTATAGTTGCCTAAAGATTTTAAGTAGACATAAATTTGTGGAACAAACTATCTCTACCGCTTCACTGTAGTGCACTTTAGTCTACAAGGAGTCCAAGCGCAGTAATAAATGGAGGCAAACTTTTCTTCAGACAAGCTCAGGTGAGAACTGAAGTAGTAGTGACGGCAAAATCACTTTTTGCCACGTTTGCGCAACAAGCAAAAAAGTTAAGCTCAGCAGGGATCCGATCCCATGACCTGTTGCGTGGTAAACGCGGCTCCATAACTCCGTTCAGAGAATCGCTTTGCAAATTTTGAAGGCAGATTCAAGATCAGCGTCCAAAACCACGTCTAGTGATCTACTTCGACCTGACGACCTTCCCTAGTGAGCTCTTTTCTACTTCACGCTTTCTTTCATATGATAGTGCATGCACAGAAGCCCACTTTGTTGATGTTTGGCGGATATATTAACCAAAAATGATGAGGTCTTCTTTCCTCCTTGCCGAACCTTCATTCCTTGAAAGGTTTCAAACTCGGCTCTTGAATCGGTCTCTTATCCACAACAATGAACTTCCAAAACCCTATCAAAAGTGAACCTCGCGGCCAATCTTCAAGCGTTCGATAGAAGGATAGGTGTTGGTCAGAGAGAACAGATTTTGGGTGGACATCCCGTAGTAGGCAACGTTTATACTCCGTGATGCGCGTCGACGCGCTGTTACTGCACTCCAGAAGTGGACGCGAACGCTGCCGCAGGCGAGGAGTAGATCGACGTTGGCCGCGTGTTGCGAGAGTACGGGATGGATAAGCCCTGCTTCCACACAATCTGGTACCGTCCTATTCTTTTATACTCGCTCAAAACACTGTGTTCCTCATCGATACTCAGCTGTGTGATTGGGCAACACGCATCCTCGTATTTCCGCATGCTCTCTCAGAACACAAGTGCCCGACGCCGATCGATACTTGTCTATGACAGCTTCCCCGTCTATGGCACTGAAGCGCGGTTGAAATATGAGCAGCACGTAGACGTGCAACATTGCAATGTCTGAACCCTGCTCAGTGTTTTACACTATCCACAAGCATGATTTCCCACTGCAATGATGACCTATACCAGCACAAAAATTAGACTAAGGATTTTGCGATTTCTTATACCACATGGTATGGAACTGCAGAATAGAACAAGTCCGCAAAGCTCAGAAATAATCAGAAAAGGAAACTAACTTGAGTGCAATGACGGTCTCGCCCCTAGCAAAAACTCCGGCTTCTTCAAGCACCTTTCTTGCAGCAAATTCAAGCAAATTCTCATTAGCTTTGCCTGGACCGCCGGGAAACTTCCAGAATAGTTCGCTGAAATAACTTCTTTCCATATGCAAGGAGCTTCACACATGACAAGTCCAACCGTAGGCACAGAGAGACAAAAGGAAAATTATGAATTCTCGGGAATATCTCAAATAGAGAATAAAAAAAACAATTCCGGGTCATCTCACCATCAACCAATCGGACCGCATCACAGACGCAGGCTTATTCCTGATTTTGAGAAATACAAAGACAGTGTAAACAACGTACCGACGGTGTTCACGAACCAACAGAATGCGACCTTCTGCATCAGTGACCATTCCAGACACGGAGTAGTAGCTGTTGGACGACCTGGGAAGTGAACTTGGTGAGGCTGTCAGAAAGTTTTGTCATCATTTCAATACGAAGCATCTAACATTAATCTCACTCTACTTCAAGATGGTTCAGTAGCTATAGCTGGTAGAGGCGCGTGTGCATACTTTGCTGCAGCGTCTATCAGCGACCAAAAGCGTCCATCAGCGTTCCGGGCGTCCGGCAGCGTCAGCGACTGGAAATTATAGATATCGACCTATCGTCTGCCAGCGTCCACCAGCGACCAGCGTCCCGGAATGGAGATAGGATGGGAGGGTAGCAGACAGCTGTAAGAGTGTGGGCAGAGGGAGGTAAACTGCTGGCAGAAAGTTTGAGGCGATAAGGGATAGTCCGCTGCGCTCCTATCGCCCCACTCTCTCACTCCCGGACGCTTCTAACCGCTGGTAGAGCTGGTAGAATCTGGAAGACGCTGGCAGACGCTAGATCGATACCTATCCTTCCCCAGCCCTCGAGACCTTGCCCTACGCTGGAAACGCTGGTAGACGCATTAGTCGGTGGTGGACGGCGTCTCAAGGTGTGAAAACGGAGCCCGCACTCGTTGCCGTAGATCATCGCATGCCTAACAACGCCCGGACCATTTTGCCCTTGAGCGTCCTCGAGCACCACCGGGCACAGAGGATGCTTGTGGACTCCTTATTTCATCAAGGTTCTGTGGATTCGGGGCTTTACTGGCCGGTCCACGCTGCCGTCAGCTGCCAGATCGCTCCCTAGATACTGGAACTGCTCGACCTTTCGATGCTTCTCGCGTGGCGGTCTACGATGGGTTCGGTACACTCTTCGGAGCTCAGGAACTTGGTCTTCTTCACGTTCAGCCGGAGTCCATTCTCAGCGAGCACATCCTGCCACCGCTGCACCTTGTCCTGGAGTTCTCTGCTATCCGCTATCAGGGCGATGTCGTCAGGGTAGGTTGGTTTTCAGAGGCCTCTTGATACGTTCTCTTATCATGACCTTCACATTTAGGAAAAAGAGGAGCAAGCTGGGGACTGATTCTTGGTGCATCCCAAAAGTGATGTCTATCCTCCTTTGTCAAGCCGTGAGGGTTGCGCACAGCTGCTTTAGCCCCATCGTACATGTCCTTCACTATGGAGACCAGGTACTCCATGAGGCCACGTTCCTAAGCGTCCTTCAGAAAACTGATCGGGGCAGCCGGTCGAATGCCTTCTCCCCGTCCAGGGAGGCTAGGTGGCATAGTCGCCGCTTCTCCCGGTATTTCCATCACCTGTCTAGCGATGAAGTGGCATCAGTGTTGGACCATTCGGACCTTTAGCCGAACTACTCCTGCGAAATGGGGACACTTCCCTCAGCCTTGTGTTGACCAGGCGCTCGTGAAACTTCATATGTGGGGAGTCAACCTGAGCTGCAGTAACTGGAGCACTCCGTCGCGTCGTTCCTTCCCAATAGTCTTCTCTACCCTGATGTCCTGAGCAGCGCGATGTCGGATTTCAGCCAGGCGGAAGGCGAGCTTCTCCCCTTATCGCCCTCCAGCTTCTCGTGCCGTCCATTTCCGTATTTTTTACCTTAGCAACGGCTACTTGAGTGAGCCGCTTGCTTTTTTCTTTCTTGAGCAGCGAAGTCTTCTGAGCTCCTTGTCTTTTCCATCGTTTGTACTCTTCTTTGCTTTGCTTGACCCAGGCTGCCTCCCGTGTCTTCCAGGATGCACTGCAAACCGTAGGACGACCTCTGCTACGTTTGTCCAGTCTCCGTTGGTCCAGGGCCGATGAGGGTCTGGAAGCTCACCCTCCGGTATTCTCCGTTCAAGGCTATCCCTTTTCTCCCTTGCGCATTTTTCACTACCGAGTTCTCCGCATGACTCTCACCCTCCTTTCTCAGGGAGTTCTAGCCGATGTCTGCTAGGAGAGGCCTGTGCTGAGGGCCCAGCTCTTCCCCAGGCAGTACCTTGATATCCTTGACGGTTTTGAGAGACGATCTTCTGACCAGGACATGGTCGATTTCCGTTTGTCTCCCTCCACTGCTGTAGGTGATCTTGAACCTTTCTTCTTGCGAAGAAGATGCTGCAGATTGCTATGTCGTGGACTGTGGCTAGGTCAAGGTTCCATTCTCTTTCAGCGCTCCTTGTTCCATTACGCAACCTCCGTGCACCCTTTCCAGACCTCTTGTCATTTTCCAGACGGCCATTCAGGTCAGCAGCTACAGTGAGATAGTCATCTTCCAAAACCTATCTTATGACCTCGTACCACGGCACGTAGAATTCGTCCTACTCTGCCTCGGAGAAACCGGATTGCGGTGCGACGCAGTCAGTAGTGTCCGGTACCTCTCCTTCGTGTACCATGACACTTCCATGATCCGATCACTGATACTGTTCACAGAGGAGACGCAGTCCTTGAGAGATTCTGCCACCGCTATGGCCACGCCATTCCGTTTGGTGTCTGCTCCATTGTAGAAGAGTTTGATCCCTTCTCCAATCTCGCGAGCCTTCGCACCCTTCCATCGCGCCTGCGTTCCATGGAGGTCGGCAACCTCACGAGACTTCCCGGTAAGCGACCCCACGTTCAGGGTCCCAATTCGAACTAGCTTCTTTGGCCGAGGTCGTTCACCCCAAGCCCTCGCATACTGACCACAGAACAAGGCGAGAGTTCTGCGCGCCACTTCCGCCACTACTTTTGCGACTTGTCATGATTGTTGTGACGGGTTTCTCCATCAGCCGGCAGATCAAGCCTGGGCCTAACGCTGGTATCCTCACCACATTTGCATTCAATCGTCGGCCAAGTAACTGGAAGGATAGATAAATCTACACGCGCGCAACATTACTAGTCTGATATTTTAGAATATAAAAGTAGACTTTGAGAAATGTATATCAAATTGTTTAGGAATACACTTCATTGGTAAGCGAATACTTACGATGGTATACGTGACGGTTCATCCCCTAACCAGCAGGCCATTGTGAGTTCATTCGTCGCTGCATGTATGAAGGTGAACCCGAGTTTAGCCAGTTCCGGAATCACGTGAGAATCCTTAGGTATACAATAGTATTTACCTGTTTTGAATGTATGAAATGTAGATGCATGAAAAATGTGAAGGCAACTTTATAGCAATCGTTAGTAATCTGCTTTTCATAATGGAGCATTTTTCTTTATGAACGGGAATAACACTCAAACTGACCAAGCGTTATATACGAAAGAAGCAGGAGTTAAAATGAAAGGAACTATGGAATGGAAATGTTGGCTCCACTAGTTCTCCATCAGACGAAGTATGTAGGCGGTCTTCGGCCGGTTATGGTGTATAACATCGTTGGGAGAACCTCACGCGGGTCGTCGTATTTGGTCGTTAGGCCGCGTTCAGACTTCGCGCATCGATCGTATTGAACGCGCGTCCGAAGCGCTACCGTCGCGAAGTCTGAACGCTTCCTTAGGATGGGGAGTCGAAACTGGACGACGGGAGTCGTCTTTTCGAGAAAAGTTTCCAAACTGCTAGAGATTCTTTCCAGTAATTATATTTTCTTTCTTCTTCCCGTTTCATGTTTGTTACTATACCCCTAGCTGGCGCCGCTACAGAACTCCTATACCACTAACATATCTGACCAGTCGGCTCGCTGGCTGACGCCGGCGCCTTCTGTGGTATAGCCCGGTCGCCGGGCGAGCGCGGCTTCGTCGCGCGTGATTTTTTCGTTGTGGGTGCAATGCTCTGAAGTTTGTTCTCTCTCTCATCTGTACGCATGTTCTAAGTAAATTTATATAATAGTGGTAAGGAGCGTCGAGCAGGTGCACAGTTGAGAGAAGAGTCACATCAATCAAGCACTCCTACAAAGCAACAGTATAATCGCGCATCGAAACCGCGCTCGCCTGACCATGCCGCTATCCCAGAAAGAGATACGCCAGGCGTCAGGCTGGCCAGCCGACTCGTACCAACTGTATCTGCAGCGACCGATGATTAAGTGTATGACTGCCGATGGAGTGCTCAGATTCACGTCACCTACACCTAGGAATGTGCGACAGATGTAAATAGCTGTCCCGATGATGGGTGTGGAAAGGCCATGCTCAGCGACATGTGAATACAAAATTAAGATAAGAAACACAACAAAATCATCAACTGAGACCAATGACAACACTATTTAGCACTGCGAAGATAATGAGCCACTGTCTTTTTAAAACTATAGAAAGAAATCGAGAAACGCATATACTTGCTTATCCTCAAGTACTCCGTGCCTGCACGAAACGTAAAGAATTACGCCCCACCAGAGAACGAGGCTGACGAAAAGAAAGCTTGAACCGTTCTCCCCTAGTTCTAGATGATACTAGTTCGAAGAAGGAGCTGCGGTCTATATCAACACGTCCGTTCAAAATATTGTAGACCATAGGTATGTCATTTCGCCGAAATCTTAAATGTTTTGGATCCAAATTGAGCATTTTGAGCTATTTCTTACTGGTTTCTTACTAGGCCCCGAGGGATGCTTTTGTAAGTGAAACCGAGAGCCCTAATAAACAATTTCCTGGTGAAGTTATGCTGTATCCTTTCCAATTTGTCCATAAATCTTTTCTTGTGGGGACACATGTACCGTATTCTAGAATAGATCAGACGTAAATTTTGTCCCCTACGATACTATAGATCTTTGAGCTGTCCGCAAACTTTGTATCCCTACGATTAGATTTTGGATAGAAGGCTGCTAAGTCAAATGTGTAAATATTAAATAAAATGGGGGACAAGACACTTCCTTGGGGAACCCCACTGATAGCATGTCGGACCGTGGAAGCATGGCCATTCACCAACACTTGAAAGGTGCGATCAGCGAGAAATTCTTCAATCCACTTGACTATCCTTCCATGAACCCGATTCGCGTAAGTTTATGTAATAAAATGGGATGGGAGACTTTGTCAAAGGCCTTTTGGAAATCAAAATAAATGACGTCTACACTTTTTTGTATCCAGTACTGATGTCCAATTGTTCATTGCTTCCAACATGAGCGTTACTGTAGATTTTTTGCTCTGAACCCATGATTGATGGTCGGATAGAACCTGGTTACATGTTATGTGACGAACAATGACCTTCTTGAGTATTTTTTCAGAAAGTCTGCAAAACACTGATGTGATACTAACAGGCCTGTAGTTATTAGGATCACAGTGTGGAGGTTTCTTCCTGATTGGAATGACATAAGCATGCCGCCAGCTACGCGGAACAACAGCTTGGAAAAACAACAAATTGAAAAGGAATTCAAGTGGTGCTGAAATGACATCAGCCATCTTCTTTATGAAAAGGAATGGGATACCATCTGGGGTAGCAGAAGAAGAGCTACGCCATTAGAGATGATTTCGAGAATTTCATGACGGCTAAACCAAACAGAGTCCTCCATATAAGGAACACCGTGGACTGGTCGAGAATCGCCTACGTTTTGCTTAGCATAAACTTTTTCAAAAATCTCGGCCAGCATTTCCGCCTTATCATTGCCTGATACCACCACTATGCCATCCTGTCCTTTAACGACAGATAACGACATCTCTGAGACCGTTTTACAGGATCTTTGTCTGGCTCCGCCCACATCCGAGCAGACTACGCGTACGACATGCCTGCCCCACTCTTCTCAAACGAGGACCCTTGGCAAACCTTAATCTACCTTTTCTTGCCTCTTAAGTGCTCTGTAACCGTTTTACAGACTGTTTGTCTGGTCCCGCCCACAATGTTTGTGCCCCACATTTCTCAATCAGCCAGCCCTCGCTGACCTTGATCCTCTTTTTCCGGTTTCTGGAGTGTTCTGGAACCGAGCTACAAACTTTTAAAATGAGTATCCTGCGATTTAGGGCAAGCTCCGCCCACTGTGGGCGGGTCTCAACACACTTTGAGCGTGCCCAATACTCGCCAGATATTTACATTCTGCACTGAGTTTTTTGCGACTTCTAAACACTCTCGCGAACCGGGTTACTGAGTTTTGTGAGAAGCACCGCCCACCTTGAGTACGCCCCGCCCATTTTGGATGTGTCTCCCACAGTTAGTCTGGCAACTCCTTACTAACCTTATTCCATTTTTCCCCATCTTTGGCTGCTCCGGAAGCGAATTATGAACATTTCTTCTGTGGAACCCAAAATTTCGGCGAGTGCCCCGCCCACTACGGGCGCGGCTTCGCATGTGTTATAGGTTGGCGCGTAATTTTGATTTATTATGATGAGTCATCCAACCAATCACTTTCTATTACTATTCACAATGTCCCGTGAAAATCAGCGCGTCACCGTTGTAGAGTTGCACAAGTCAGGGATGAAGACGGCCGACATTGTTCGTACGACTGGCTTCAAGCAGCGGACCGTCTACAACATCGTAAATCGCTTCAAACAGACGGGAGGAACTGCAGATCGTCCTAGGAGCGGTCGCCCTACCACTGTGACCACCCCGGAGACTGTCAACAAGGTGCGCTGTCGAATTCGTCGCAACCCGGTTGTCTCCATGCGAAAAATGGCGAAGCAACTTGGAATCGGTCGAGAAAGTGTGAGGAATATTCGAAAGAAGCTGAAACTACGCAGTTACAAGATAAGTCGACTTCATTTCCTGAGCGAAGCGATGAAGAGAGAAAGACTGGAGAAAGCCGCAGGATGCGTCGTCTGGTCGGTGCTGGTCGCTTGAAGAATGTGCTCTTCACCGACGAAAAATTCCCACGATCGAGCCTGTACACAACCACCAGAATTGTCTGTACTACTCAAGAAGGGTCAGCAGAAGACAACGGCAGCGAAACCCGTCGGCCATAGGCACTTTCCAGCCTCAGTCATGGTCTGGGCTGGGATCTGTGTCACCGGAAAACCTCCACTCGTCTTCATCGACCGTAACCTTAAAATCAATGCTGCCAACTATCAACAGTGCGTTCTTCGCGATGTACTGGAGCCATCGCAGCACTTCGGTTCAGATGGATTTGTGCTTCCAAGAATGGGCTCCAGCACATTCTGACACTTCTCGTTCAATATTATGATGGTACCATCTCAGAAATAAATTGGTTAACGACATCAAGCTAACTGCTGATACAACTCGACTGAAAATATAACGACAAAGCAAATCTTGGTAGAAATATTAGTAACTCGACGACGCAACTAATGTTGGACAATTTGACTGAATGTCTACTCGAAATCCGTGAAATCGGGTAGGCGTGGCCTCATTTTTCAACTTGACCTGAAGGTGTCTATGCTTCTGGTGAGATATTTTCATCTTGACACAATTGTTGTCATGTCTCTGTTCAGCAAAGCCAAGGCGATTAACGAGTAACCAGTTCCGTGCAGCTAATGTCGTCTGGACTCCAAAAATTCCGGCGACAGGCGGAAATATATTGTGGCGCACGTGGTCACCTACCATCACTCCTATGTCTCGCACAACACTTGAAATTCGCTCAATGTGTGTCCGGAGATGTAACTGAACCACAACCTGTCTTTGTTGTGAAATGAGTCGTGGTGCACACTCCACACTGTATTTATGACGTTTATGACGTTGGCGTTGAAAGGGCGTGGGTAGAGCACATAAAAGGAAATCCAAGTGGAGCGTTGTAATAGAACAACGGCCCCAAGATATGTGGATGCTCCATTAGGTCGTTTTTTTTATAAATGCGCTCCTCTAATCGGGCTTAAAAGGCACTAAGCAAAAATGGTTCCTGTTCGAGCCAAAATTGTTCATGACATTAGGTTCCCCCCCCCCCCCTCCATTACAGAAGCTTGTTGCTAGAGCATTTTTCAGCTAATGTTTTACAAGCCCCCTCCCCTTCCCCCAACCCCTCGATAAGTAATTGAATCCGGAGAACTTTAAGTGGTTTCACGTTTTTGGATTTATAAGACTCCGAAATCATTCCGCTGTAATGAGCTTGTTGAGCCCTGCTCCTTTTCATGTTCAACCAGTGGTTTCAGTTATCCATTTCCTTATATATAGTCGTGAAGGTAGTGCCTCATTCCGCAGTCATGTGGTTAATACGTTGACGATGAGCCGTTTTCATCATGACTTGCGCATGGGACGGCCCACTTTTCCTTAAAATACAGTAATTTTCAATGAATCAATGGTTATGATTCAAGTGCCTCAAGGAATGCCTGAGGCAAAGATACGCATCTTTTATCTTTGACACGCTATACCTTTTACTGCCCCAATCTTCCAGAATTAGGGCAGTTCCAACCGAAATTTTTCTCCAAAAAAGATTCGGGAGACCAACAGACGACTCGCCTTTGAATAGCTAAGCCTCCTAATCGTGAATTTCACATTCACCTCGCACGAAAATGCCTGGCGCCCGCGCCCAAGTGCTGGTTCGCGCTACACGCGGCGGGTCAATGCATTCATGTTACGCCGCGCCTGTGCGACAAATGATAGCCAGTTTCGCGTTGAGCAAGTGTGATACACATATTCAAGGGGTCAGACTACCTAGGGAGAAAAGTTTTCAACGAATTCTGTTCCCTGTAGTATTTCGGCGACGGCGCCTATAGAGAGAACGCCAGGCAGTCTCTTGAGAAGGGAATGTGATATTCATGTTTGGGCAATAGAACTACTCTAAGAGACAAGTTTTCAGCTAATTTGGTGATTTATGGCATTTTGGCGCTGGCGCCTGTGCAACCGTGGTGCTCGTTTCAGAGCGTCAAGCTAGCCCTATGGATTTAACCGGATTTGATTGTTTGCACATCTTTATTATTAGAGCAATATACTGTCAGACAGCATTGTCTGACATCGTCCCACGAGACAGACTGGCTGTCGCCCACCATTGTCTGACACCGTCGTCAACGTGTTAACACCGCCTGCTGCCTCTTGCTTCCTGCTCGCTGCCGCTGCTTTCGTGCGATACAGGAAAAATGACAAACATATTGAAGCGCTCGTTTTTATGAACAAAATACAGTACTACCTCCTTAGTCAACCTTATTGCAGCTTTGGTAAAAGGCTCGCGGTTGAAAATTTCCCACACATCCTTGTTTTCAGTATAGCCTATCCTGCGTTGCTCATTAAAGCCTAATTTGTAGTTCCGGTTTTGTCGTTCGTTTTTGAACAATATTAACAGTTACTGTTAAAACAGCGAAAGACAAAACACAACAGTAAATGAGCCTTTAGAAGGATCATTTCAATGATTTTGTGTATAGGCTCGTTACTCACTGATGACGCCATACTACACATATGGCATGTATCGAAAAAAAAAGAAAATGAAATCAAAAAAAAGGTAGTTGCACATTTAGAAAATTTGAGACGCATCTAACCATTTGAATATTTACACTGTGGGGCTTCCACGATCTCTTCTGACAATGCCCGGCAGTGACTCTATAAACTCACTGAGCGAATTTCTAAGTGTTCCGCGTGAAATAGGAGCATGGTACGTGATCACGTCCGCCACAACATAATTTCCGCCTGTTGCCGGAATTCTTAGAGTCCAAACGGCATTAGCCTTTCCGTGCCGTGTTCAAATGCCACGCCTACTCTGGATCGGGTATAGGTAGTGTAGATAACAACATACATTTCAACATTTTCGGGTCCAAGTATTCAGGCGGTAAGGCAATTCGGCACTGTTGAACTATTCCTATCCCAGCCTGCCGAAATAAGGCCGGTTTTCTACCGACTTTTTCTACAAGGGCAGATTTGGCTGAAAATTTGTTCACAGGGGTACTTCGACCTCCTGAACACGAATATCACATCCGCTTCGCCCAAGACTCCTGGCGCCCGCGCCTCAAGACATCGAATAACATCTATCCACAAAGTTTCAGCAAAAAAAATTTTTTAGTTCTTGGGGTGCGAGTTGCTTGATAGTGTCGGCAGTTCTTACGATCAGTATTATGGGAAGTGGGTGCTCAATCGTGAACGAGTAGCCTATAGGATGAAGCGGATAAAAGTTGAGAAGATGTGAAGGCGACCTCCTGAGCGGGGCCGCGCTTTGGACAAGCTGTCGCGCCGACAAAATCAGCATCACTCAGTCAGCAGGATTGGACGTGCAACTAATTCCCAGCAAAATCATACACACTCCAAATCCCTGAGATGTCGTAGACGTGGCGCATACTTCAACTTTTCGTGGCGGTGGCTGTGCTTCTGGAGAGATGTTTTCACTTCTACACACTTTTGGTCGTGTCTCTGTCCAACACAGAACAAGATGACAGTTGTCTTGAAACTGAAACATCCCACGAGTAACTCATACTATGCCATGCTTCATATGCCACGCCTACTCCATCTCTGGGATAAGAAGTGTAATCGTGGTTGCAATGCTGCAATAATCACGAGCCTCTAGCATCTTCATGTCGCCGTTTCAAGTGACCGACGTGGT